TGTTTTTAATCGAATTTAATATTTAGACGTGAATTTTAACATTCATAAACACACAAAAATGATATATATTATGCATACATATAATAAAGTTAAATTTTGATCAAACATAAATATATTTTATCTTTGTTATTTTTCATTTCTCCTATCTATTAAAAATAATCGTGAATTTTTGTTTTTGAATATTTTAATACCGCTTTTGACTTAGATAAAAAATCTAGTATTATTGAAAAGAAAATAAGATATTTTTAAATATTTTTTATATTCCTTAAATAAAATTCTTTATATTAATTATTACATATTCGTTTTTTCCATATATATGTTATTAAGAATTTTTAATATTTTTTATTAAAAAATGAATTCCTTACATCTAGGATTTTTATGTCGATAACCTCTGGTTACACACATAAGTAGAAATGGGTTGAACCAAATATGTAAGCAAGAGGCCCAAAGGAGAAGCCTAGCAGTCATTAGTCCTTCACTACCAAGCCAACAACCATCACAACCGAAAATATTGGCGAAACGGGATTTTTCAATATGAATCTTCTTGATGAAACCTTAGCATTACTTAGAGGAAGGAGGAAATGATCAGGGACTTAGATAGTACGTAAATGATCAGGAGTAAATGTACCTATTACAAGAGAATATGGATAGAAGCAGAACTTGATTACATATAGGAGCAGTAGTAATATTTTGACTTTTATCAAGATTACGGCTCATCGTTGTCAATCACATGATCAGGTATGTTTACCGGATGGACTCTTCTATCTCGGCGGTTACAGAGACATAGAATCGTAAATGTAAAGAGAAAAATGAAGATTAAACAAGCGAATGGAAGCAGGAGAAGCCAGCTAAAACCATCTTCTACACGACCGTCGATTAAATTCATTTCAGATTGAGAGAGAGCTAGAATGGTGATTATATTATACAAATTGCTTCTTTTGTTTGCTATACAAACATATACAATTCGTTTGGTACAATGAATCTGTATGACTCCATCTCTTCATTCTAAAAGATACGTATGTTTCTAAATCTTTGGACTCTTTTCAAATTGCTTCAAAGAAAGAAATTAACTACATCAACATGTATAATGTTCCACCTTCTTTATAAAGTGTTTTAAATAATAGGAAAATAGAAAAAAAGAGAAATGACTCTATATTAATTATGTCAAGTACTACTCAAGAAGAATTGAAGACGGGTTCCCTCGGATGTTTTTTCGAAAAAAAATATTAAGAAAAAAGTCAAACATCACGTTTCTTTAACGGAGCAATTACAAATATACTATTTTTTGTGTTCATATTTGTAAAAATGTCACTTAGGAGTGTCTATTTACAAAAATGTTACTAATTATAAATTTATAAAGCCTATATCTTAAAATTCTAAACCCTAAAAAAATGTTTTGACATCTAAAACTCCCTAAACACTCAAAACTAAATCCTAATAGAACATAATTAACTCAAACATAAATAATATAAAGAAAAAATAATTTTAAAAAATGGCATTTTTGTAAAAATTTTAAAAATGTGGCATTTTTGTAAAGTGGCATTTAAAAAATGGCATTTTTTTAAATTTATCTTTTTTAACATGCATTTTTTTTTGTTGATGTTTGTGATGGTGGCTTGTGCATAATACACATCACTAATCGAAAACAAATAAAAATAGTACCACAAAACATCGACATTAGTTTTGAAGCAAAGAAAACAATCTGGCTTTGAATATGAATTTATGCTCTCTTCCTCTAATTTTTTTTTCTTTTTCGAATTTCGGATATTCGTAGCCATTGGTTTCAAAGGCTATTGTATCGTATCAAATAATTTGCAATTTTGTGATCGATATATATTTCCCAAAAAAGTAAATGCAAACAATTTCCTTTTCTATTGGATCATTAAAATGCAAAATGCATTATCAAAGTGATTTTGATCTCAATATAAACACATTGTCTCGTCAAGTAATTTGCCATACTCAACATTTGTTTAATTTAATTTGCTTTTAAAGAGCGTTATAATATTAATACCAAAAATAAAATTTGTTTTCTTTTTTGATGTTTACATAATAATTATCTTAAATTTTAAACTAATGATCTTTTAATGTTTGTTTTCTAATAATGAATAAACCTGTCCATTTTGGACAATACGATAAAAGGAACATATTAAAGGTGAATAATATTGTGTAGAGGTACCAAATTTAAAACATAAAATTTTAGGAAATAGAAAAAATACTATTTATGATTTTAGATGTGTAAGAAGATATTTTACGGTTCATATCTTATCTTGTCATTCTCTTAAATAACAGAATTCTTTTATTTGTAATTTTTTTGGCATTTAACTTTTCAAATAATACGGGTTTATATTATTCTTTGTCACTAAAATACCGTAATATAGTAACATAGACTCCGAATGGTGACGTCTCGCACTTTTCGCCCCGTATTAAACAATTGCAGAACTC